CAAAGCCTCTACACTTGCTTCCTTGCCATCAAAGATTCTAACATTTCTCTCCAACCATATAGCCCAAAAAATAGCAAAAACAATGCTTGTCCACATTGTTTTGGCTCTCTTGGTTCTCCCAAACCCTTTAAACCTAATAAGAAGCAGTTGAACGATGTCCCGCGGAGCAATCCACTGTTCATCACATAAGCCGAAAAGACGCTCCCATAATACACAAGCCACCGAGCAATGAAGGAGTAGATGATCCGCTACCTCCAAGTTTCTCTTGCACATCACACACCATTGAGGGCAAAGAGAGTGATTAGGACTTTTCCTGTGGAAAATATTATTAGTTGTTACACCCTTTTGAGCCAGAGACCACATAAAAAACTTCACTTTATGAGGGACCAGTGTTTTAAAAAACCCTAGGCGCATCGAGGCACCAAGGTCACCTGGAGCCTAAGCCCCGAGGCGCGACGCGAGGCGAGGCGCGCGCCTCACCAAAGCGAGGCGCAAGTTATAGAAGTTAAGCAAAATATTAACAAAGCACAATTTTCAACATAAACAAATATTTAATATGTATATTATTAATTTTTTTAATAAGAAGAAAAAAATAATTAATTTTTTAATATATGTATTATTTTATTTATTTATTATATTTTTTAAATAATGTGTTTTAATTAATTATTTTATTTTATTTTATATACATGTGTTTATTTTTATTTTACATAAGTATATTTTTATTTTATATACATGTGTTTATTTTTAAATAATTAATGTTTTTTATTTTACATATTATCTATAAGTATATTATATATTATATAATAGGTATTGTATAATATTATATATATAAATCAATTATATTTTATATATTATAAGTATATTGTATATTATATATTATATAATAGATATTATATAATATTATATATATATATATATATATGAATAGAAGATAAAGGGAGAGACAGAAGAAAGAGAGAGAGATAGATCGTCAGCGCGAGAGAGAACACGAGAGAGAGATCGCGATCGCGATCGCGAACGAGACACGAGAGAGAGAGAGAGATCGTGATCGCGAGAGGGAAGGCGAGAGAGAGAGAGAGCGAGACAGAAGTGAGAAGAAGACAACGAAAGGAAGAAGAGGAGAAGAATCGAACCAGAAGAGAAGAGAAGAATCGAACCAGAAGAAAGAAAGAAAAAAAAAAAACAAGGTATAATAGAACCAGAAGAGAGAAGAGAAGAAGAGGAGAAGAGAAGAATAGTCGAAGCAGAAGAGAAGAGAACCAGAGAAGAGGAGAAGAGAGAGGAGAAGAGAACCTGTGTTTTTGCTCTGTTGACCCACGTTTGTATCATTTTATGATGTAAATGAGATGTTATCCCATGTGGGTATCCACACAGTAAACAAATGGGGGCTGCTGGAGTGAAAAACATTTGAAGCGCATGAAGCGCACGCCTCAGGCTTTATAATAAAGCGCGCGCTTCGTCGCCTAAGCTGCGCCTCGCCCATGTCGCCTCGCCTCGCCATGCTTGAGGCGCAAGGCTGCGCTTCATCTCGCCTTGGGCTTAGGCGCGCGCCTAAGCGCGCTTTTTAAAACACTGGATCAACCTGACTTGTATTGGATGGCCCATATTCATCTCACTTAACCTAAACCATTCCGCCCATCCCAACCAAGCTATATCAGTCCATGTACTTGTTGGAATATGTTCTACATCGCCTAGAATTGCTCCATCTGTACTAGTTATAAGGCTCTAGTTTCCCTCTCCTTAATACCTGGGTTTTAAGGAGAAGTGTGAGTTGAGCTTTTCAACTTAGTATCAGAGCTTGGTTGGGCCTGTGATTGTTATGCCGTTTGTCTGGCTATTGTATGTTGTGGTTCAGGAGGGTGTGTTGGAATGTATCCTATGTCGCCTGGAATTGCCCTATCTATACTAGTTATAAGACTCTAGTTTCCCTCTCCTTAATACCTGAGTTTTAAGGAGAAGTGTGGAATAAGTTTTTCAACTGGACTTGGCCCAAACTCACCTCCCTTAACCTCTAGCCTAGTTTACTTATGCCCCGGCATCTAGCATCCAACCAATAACCCAAGACTCCAAACTTAATCCAACTAATTCCATGGTCATGAATAGTGTTTGACCCATGAGCAGTACCTGACCCGCTCACTTGTGAATAGTTTGTCAGCCTGTGAACAGTCTGAGCTTTTCCCATTAACCATGTTGATCAATATTAGAGTTAAATTCAAATTTTGATGTCATATATCAAGACCAGCAGGAGTTGAAGAAATCACAACAACAATTGAAGACAACACAAGAATAGATGACAAACATTTTTCAAGTGCAAGATACTTTTTCGGAAACCGCTGTTTTGGTAGACAAATAGAAAGAAAAAGCTACAATTAATTAGTGGATCTTTGGATGCTCCTCCGCCTCACACTTTTGGGTATGGCCACCAATGACTATTAGAGGATATCCTCAATTGACTAATGTAGATAGGGGTGCTAAGCATGAAGTTCCTGATTTGAGTGGAGGTTACGACCAAAAGGTATTATTTGATTGGGTACATAGTATGGATAGTTTCATTTGTTGGTGGTACCAATTGACAATAAGAGGAAACACTTATTATTGAAGTTAAATTGAAGGCACAACTAGAATTTGGTGGACTAAATATTAGGAGGAGCATCATGCCGCTATCTTGACATGGGAGATTACTTTGAACCGTTGCTTCATTCCAACGAGCCACAAATAGTGAGCTCACTTGCAGTTTACTCAATCAGTAAAGGGAAGATAGTCTGTGGAAGAGTTCACAATGTTTTTCTATAATTTGGCCACCAAATATGAGTTACTTTGGAATGAGGATGCAGTAATTTCTATGTATCACCAGGTATTAAATTTGCCAATTTCTAGTGCATAAGTGTTAGCACCTTGATAGTTGGGAGCTGGCGGCCTGACACTTGGTGGCACCTTGCACCTATGTCAGGC